TTTCAGCACAATTCCACATCAGAGGGGAGAGACAAAATGTGCAAACCTTTCAAAATCTATTTAGTCTCTGTGTTACAATGCTCAAATTACAGACCTGGCCCTCTTTAAGGAGCTGAGGCTGAATGTAGGAAAACAGTAAAGGAAAATTACTTGGCTAACCCTTAGGGGGACAGGCATTCTGTTAAACACAACAAATGTGCGAGTGCCAGGGAGTCCCATCCAGAAGCACAGCAATCATTTAGTTACAGACAATTAACAATAGTCCTCCAGTAGCACAGGAACAGTTCTACTCTGAGGGAAAACACATCGATTACTGCTGCAGTAGTAGATTGGTTTCTGAATAAATAGCTTCAATTTAAAACAAGATTTGTTACAAGCTTTTTGACCAATGGCTACAATTTTTTTCCTTATTGGGAGGCTTTCACCAAGGAACCCAGTGAAAGAGATGGCTAATTAAAATGAAGTACGTGTTCTCTCCAAATATCTGGGATGATACGGCTGGTAATAAATGCACTCATTTTCTACTGATTTCATGCTAATTATTAGGCATATTTGTAGGATGTATCTTTGATCTTCACCTGGCTTTAATATTTGATAAACTTCCTTTCGCTGTGCCATGCAGGTAATTCACTTACGGTAGCTGGAGTTGCAACAAGAAAGTAAATAAAAGGGTGCCTTCAAAGATTCATATCTTTTGAGTTATACAACATGCTTCAGGGACTTAACATTTAATGATCTGTGATAATTTAAAATTAATCATATTCTATTCATTAGTCCGCATATAGCTGAGCTACTAAGAAAAATAATTATATTTCAAACATTCTTTCTTTGTGATTTATAACTCTTCAAGGACATATAATTTATATCTGTGTATTCAATTTCTGAACCTTTTTCAAAATCCAATTACAATCTATCTAAGGTTTCAATTTTGCAATCACGCAGATTGCTTAACTTCACGGACTGTAACTAATCCCTCTGAAGTCAACAGGACTATTCACAGAGCTTCAGGTTAGCACACGCATAAATCTTTGCAACTTTGTGGCCTACGCTCGTTACCATTCTCTGCTTGTCTTGGACGATTTAACTCACAAATCTACAAGGTTTACTTAGAGACAGTTCTCAGTCTGTCTAGATATACTTTCATAGACTTCAATTATTAAAGAAACATAAAGGTAACAAACAGAATTTGGAAGAGGAGCGGTTGAAGACAACACTTAAGCTCTTGTGATGACACTTGAAAGAAGGCAGATACTGGCAACCAACGCAAGACTGATGTGACGTAGCATGGAGCTTTGGTTATAAAGAGGTGTGTTTCTTCTAAAGGAAGAAGGAGGCTGGCTAACACAGGAATAGTCGTCTGAGTCTCATTTCAAACATCAGCAGTAAACAGAGTTTAGATTAGGAAGAAAGAAACTCATACAGTTTAAAAATAGAGAAGTGAGTGGGATTTTTTCTTTTTTTTTCTTTTTTTCCCTGCTTAATACAGTATTCATTATGACACGGCTGTAAAGCAATTTATCTTTCCAAAGTACAGCATATGGAACCAGAGCTTTATACAGCATATACATATTCAACATGCATGTATATAGATAAACTATTCTCTACTTTTTAGGATTTTTTGTTTGTTTGTTTCAACATGCCAAACAAAATCTGGTTTTGTTTAAGGTACCTAGATGGCTTTATGGATACAGTTGTGCATAACTACTTACGGATATTGTAGGAAAATAATACTTCTGATACCAGTAGAAACAGATTTGGGCTGTTCATTAGCTTGATTATGAAATAATTTCTTAACTCAAAGTATAGGTTTTCTGCCGGCATAGCTCAGGCATGCCTGTAGATTTCTGCAGAGTTGACTTAAGGTGGCTAAATTTAGTTACAGTTTTTAATACATTTTTCAGTGCATTAGTTTAATTTTTTTATTAGAACTAGTGATACCTAGCTAGCTCACTTCATTTTTTAGATCAGTATATAATATATACT